CCCTCAGCCCAACTCAAACTGCAGTTGGGCCACCTCGTCGGGTTTGTTTGCCCATTTGAACTGTGACGTTTTATGGTCTGAAACTTTTCTGCATCATTCATATTACTGTCACTATTTTCAGTTCTCAGATTATCTGGAGTCACTGAATCTTGTTAATACTCCTGAATCTGTCCATCACTGCAACTTTCACTGTTTTTGGGTTCTGAATGATCACGTCTTCATTAATATTTCTCATGGTTCGATTATGGGGGCTAATTGTCACACTGTTAACTTCTATAATTACACATCAGTCACAAAAAACTCAAGAAAATGTCTGATAATAATGTTGTTACTGCTCTCAGGGATTCAGCCCAACCCTGGACCCCCCACTAATTACAGCACACCAAATGACTTTACAAACGCCTCTGGGCTTCATTTTCTTCATGTAAACGCTCGTAGCCTTCTGAAAAAACTGGATGCTTTGAAAATCCTGGTCAGTTCTTCTGGGGCAGATGTTATCTTTATTTCTGAATCCTGGCTCAACAAATCTGTACTCAATAATGACGTGGCAATCAATGGATTTAACATCTACCGCTGTGATCGTCAAAAAAGGGGGGGTGGAGTCATTATTTACATTAGAGATTCTCTGGTTTCTAGTCTTGTGACTTCTAAAACAATTCCAAACCAGTTTGAAGCCTTATCTGTAAATATCACCTTGAATGGAGGCCAGATTTTAACTGTAGTCTGCTGCTATCGCCCCCCCACAGCATCACCTGAGGCATTAACTGCCATGAAGGAATTTCTTGGTAATTTAAAATTCAAAGAGATCTTTTTGGCTGGAGATCTCAACATTGATTGGTGTAAGTCGACCGCCCTCTGTGATAAATTCAAGGAATGTTGCTTGACTTTTAATCTCACCCAACTGATCAACTCTCCCACTAGATTAAATAAAAACCATCCTGAAAATTCCTCCATCTTAGACCTGTTTCTAACTAATATGCCTCACAAATTCCCTGGTACAGGTGTATTCGCTGATCTTTTGAGTGATCACTGTGTGAAAGCGGCTTTGAGAGATATTAAACGTCCACCTTCTAAGCCCAGATTAATTCAAAAAAGGGATTTGAAACGTTTTTGTGAACAGTCATTCCTCTGGGATCTGTCTCACTTTGACTGGCATCGTATTCTGTTAACTGATGACGTGAACTCTGCTTGGTACTATTTCCATAATAATTTCATTTATTTCCTGAACATACATGCTCCTTTTCGTCAGTTCAGAATAAAGGGATGAGACAGCCCCTGGTTTACTCCAGAGCTAGCTGACCTCCTGCACAGGAGAGACCATCTTTGGGCTGCAGCGAGAAAATCTGACTCAGACACTGATTGGTTGAGTTTTCGACAGATGAGGAATAAATTCACAACTGCTGTCAAAGCTGCAAAACGCAACTATTTCTTATCTCAGACCTCCAAAAATCTAAATGACCCTAACAGATTCTGGAAAACCATCAAATCTCTCTCAGGCACCCCCCAATCATCTGACCTCCCATCACAACTTCTCATTAACTCTGTTCCTGTGTCAAATAAGCACAAGATCCTGAACTGTCTCAACAAACATTTTGTTGCTTCTGGTTCTTTATTTGACACAGCTACTAATGGAAGATCAGCCACTTCACTTAATAATCAAACTTCTACAAATCAAATCCCTCCTACAAGTCAATCCTCAGTTAATCACAGCTTCTCTTTTTCTCCATTCTCAGTCAGTGAGGTCAATAAACTGTTAAAAGATCTTGATCCTAAAAAATCTGCAGGTCCAGATGAACTTCCACCTTATTTCTTAAGGCTGGCTGCTCA